TCTTTTTAAATTAGCTTCTCAATCATCATTTGGAAGGAAACCATTCTGAGCAACATCATTAAAAACAGCTCTGATAAAGCATGGTCACTACTATGTATCATAAAGCAGGACCACATATGAGTGAGTACATATCATGTTTGTCTTTTTGTGATTGGGTTACCTTGATCAGAATGGTTTCTTCGAGTTCCATCCATTTTCCTGCAAATTTCAAGATGCAATTGTTTTTTTCTGCTGAGTAGTACTCCATTGTGTAAATGTACTACAATTTCTGTATCCATTCTTCAGTTGAGGGGCATCTAGGCTGCTTCCAGTTTCTGGCTATTACAAATAGTGCTGGCTATGAACATGGTTGAACAGATATCCTTGTTATATGAATGTGCTTCTTTTGGGTTTATGCCTAGGAGTGGAATTGCTGGATCTTGTGGTAGAATCATTCCCATTTTCTTGAGGAGTCACCATACTGATTTCCAAAGTGTACAAGTTGGCACTCCCACCAGCAGTGGAGGAGTGTTCCTCTTTCTCCACATCCTCTCCAGCATAAACTGTCATTGGTATTTTTGATTTTAGCCATTCTGACAGGAGTAAGATGGTATCTCAGAGTTGTTTTGATTTGCATTTCCCTGATGGCGAAGGATGTTGAACACTTTCTTATGTGTCTTTCAGCCATTTTAGAGTCCTCTATTGAGAATTGTCTATTTAGTTCTGTACCCCATTTTTTAATTGGATTGTTTGGTGTTTTCGAGAATAGCTTCCTGAGTTCTTTGTATATTTTGGAGATCAGCCCTCTGTCAGATGTGGGGTTGGTGAATATCTTTTCCCAGTCTATTGGCATGATTAAAAAAAAAAATCTTCAGCACTAAATATTTTTTAGATACAGTTTGAAAGTAGTACTGTGAATATTTATTGTCCTTGAAGGATTTTCTAGAATTTACTCTTAGAGATTTCATAAACTTTGCTTAACAAACTGACACAGAATATTTTCTCACTCAGGAAAGGATCTTAACACAAAATTATTTAATAACTATTCTTCCTTGTTTTGTTTTCATTTCTTGGCCTCACTGATTGTATTTTTCCTCTTCACTGTGTTGAGTGTTTGGGATGTAGGTAATGAAGCAGGCTTAGTGTTTGCCAGCTTCTAAGTCTGGTGAACAGCTGCTCATATATATGACCAGGTATATGGCATGGGTTTATTACTTATAGACAAGCTTCATGGTACAACAGAAGCTTGGGGACGACTTCTGGTTCAGGACAGCTTTTCAGGTCAATGGAGTTTGCTGAGGAAGGCCATTGGAAAGCAGCCCACTCTGGGCCCCATTTCTTGGGAACAACATGACACACGTAGTTACAGCATTGAAGGAGATCCAGGGTACTGGCTCTTCTATCCAGTCCCCACCCCCATTACGGTGTATTAACATTCCCAGCACAAACTCTGACTGCTCTTAAGGAAGCAAACAGGGGTGTCCTTCCAAGAGACTGGGTCCAACCAAGGTGATCCTTTTATCTACTTCAAAACATTGTCTTGCCTATATTTTTAAGCTGCTCTCTTTTTCAGATTTTTGTGAATTATATAAAATTATATTATTCATGGCTATTTGTAAAAAATCATTTTGTCCCATGATTTTCTTTTTGTGTGTTTATTAGAATATCATTACATAATCGAAGTAAACATTTACGATGCTTGTCTATTTTTACTTTTTCTAGTGGACAGTGTCATGAAGTATTGCGTACTGCAGGAGTGTCCTGCCACTAACTCCAGCATCTACAGTCAGATGGAATTCAGCTGAGTGTTTCTTCTTTGCACTGATGAAGAGCTAGACTTTGTATCCTTAGTGCCCTTGAGAACAGTGTGTGAAAACCATACTAAAAATATTGGTAAAATTTTTGATTTTCAAACTTACTGAATTACCCATCCTTTCATTCAATTCCACTTTCTCTATATGTATTTTCTCTTCTACAAGCAGTAATGTTCCATTTTTTTGTAGTTAAAATATGAATCCAAAAAGTATATATGCATGATGTGCTCTGGTCCCACACATATCTCCAATATTGAATTTGCCATAATATCTCTGCTTTATAAGTGACCTTGCTACTTAGGCTCAGGTTGCACAGCCTTCTGTCCGTTCTGTTTCATTCTATAGGAAGACTTTGGCTTCAATTTCCTGACTTCGTGCCTTTAAGCTGATCATCAAGGAAATCCTAAAGATGCATTTGAAGGACTTTAAAGGAATTCCTTATTTTTATAACCCACTAAGAGATTAGTATTTGTAGGCAAATGTTGACGTTCTGATAATTTACTGTCTATACCTATGGCATATCACATTGACTTGAAATTACATGTCAGGAGTACATCAGAATTGTACTGCTGATGTGTCCTGCCAGAAGCATGAGGATCTGTGCAGTGAATGAATGAGGGCAACTGAGAGGCAGGTTGGTGATGAGTGATAATGTGCTTGTTCCAAGTTCATGGGAATTTTTATTTTTGTATTTTAAAGAATAATTGTAAGATGTAACAGATATGACATTGCCAATGAAAGTATGAGAGAAATACATAAGTGCTGTACCCAGGAAGATCACCTTCAGGTGTTTGTTCAAGTACCAGCAAACAATTTGGTGTGATAGTCATACAAGAGGTCTGAAGATCTCTATAGGTCAAAATACAATATATACATACATAAAATCTATTGTATCTGAAATTAAGTTATTTACATTGTGTAATACTTTTAATATAAACTTGCAAAGTATCCACCAAAATACAGCCTTCCACAAGGAGACTTAACTACCAGTTGAAAGTGTGGGAGGTGCAAAAGTTAGCACTGTAAGACCTGACTGAGGTTTCAAAATCAAAATTAGTTAGATGTTTGTGTTCTCCAAAATTCTGTGAAAAGAATCTTGAATCTTGAAAAGAATCAAGCACATTGAATGAGATTCTTCTGCACATTGGAGCCATCTCATTTTCTGTCTCTGCCTAGCCATCTTACCTCTGGTCTGTCTGTACAGACCTCTAGACCTGTATGGTTAGGTAGTGGCAAGCTCCATCCTCTGATCTTCAGACAAACTTGATTTGTACAAGCAAGATATTTCCGCAGATCTCCATTCATTAGACTTGATTTATGACATTGTGGCTTGTTTTCTTCTTACTATATAATAAGCAAAGATGCAAAGATGCTGCTGCTATGGTTTATAATGCCAGCACATGATTTCCCTATCTTAGAATTTATAGATTTTAAATGCCAGTCAAGGATCTCAGTGAATTAGGCCAGGTAAAGCCACAAAAGGAAACAGAGCCACCAGCTTGCCTGTCTCTCCCACAAGGTATTTAACAGAGTGTCAAGCATGTTCTTTTTTAAAGAGTTGGAGCTATAATAGGTCTCATGATGCCTAAAGAGTTAGTTTTCTATTGTTCAAAATATTTTGTGAATATCTAGCAAAGTCTTATGAAATATCAGCTCAGTTTTCTTCACTTATGGATTAGTGACATTTTCCTCATAAAGGATAGTGAAATCAATAAACTGAATTTTAGAAATAATTTTAGTGTATTTTGTAATTAATATTTCTTTTTTTAATATTTAATTTATCTGCTTCCATGTATATCTGTACACCAGAAGAGGGCACCAGATTTCATAACAGATGGTTGTGTGCCACCATGTGGTTGCTAGGAATTGAACTCAGGACCTCCAGAAGAGCAGCCAGTGCTCTTAACCTCTGAGTCATCTGTCTAGCGCCGCACCCCCTTTATTTATTTATTTATTTATTTATTTATTTATTTATTTATTTATTTATTATGTATACAGTCTTGTGCCTGCATGCCAGCAGAGGGCACCAGATCTCATTCAAGGTGGTTGTGAGCCACCATGTGGTTGCTGGGAATTGAACTCAGGACATCTGGAAGAACAGTCAGTGCTCTTAACCGCTGATCCATCTCTCCAGCCCTGGTAATTAATATTTCTAACTTAGGAAGGATCTCTGATAGCTCAATGGGAGAGAGGCAGCACACAAAATTCTTTATTATTGGAAGCCTTCCTTCTGTTAGAATAGACATCAAATTCTCTTCACTTCATCTTTAAGAATTAGAACTTGGATTGTGCAAAGAGAAGGCTTGCTTTCTAGAGGTAGTACTGCATTAAAGAACAACTGGCATACTCACTCTAGAGGCACACATGACATGCAGGTATATTGCTTGCTTGAGATAAGTGGGATACATTGCTTTTGCCAACTTGGGTTGCCACTGCCTTACCAAGACTATATGCATGGCTATGGCCTGCCCCACAGATAATGATGTGCTCAAACTTCCTGAAGGCTATGTATGTATGTCATAGGTACAAAATGGTGACTTGAATCTCATGAATATGATTAAAAAGAGGAAACAGGATGCTTAATAAGAAACTAGGCAATGGCTATTAAATATCATATGAACATGTAAATATTTTGCTTAGGTTATGGATAGTGATATAGTGGTGATATTTTTATAATTATAGCTTAAATGACAAAAACTATAGGGTTGAATATGTCTTCCAAATGTTATGATCAAATTACTAAAACATAAGAAAAACCATTAGAAGCTAGGAAACAAGGAGGACCCGAAGAGAGACTGAAAGGGACAAGATCTCCTGAGTAAATTGGCAGTGCAGCAGGGGAAGGGGAGGGAGAGGAGAGAGAGAGGAGGGGAGAAGAATGTGAGGGATCAGGAAGGTCAGGTTGTGGGAAGGACAGAGGAGAGCAAGGAAAGAGATACCTTGATAGAGGGAACCATTATGGGGTTAACAAGAAAACTGGTACTAGGGAAATTCCCAGGCATCCACAAGGATGACCCCAACTAAGAATCTAAGCAATAGTGGAGAGGCTACCTTGAATACCCTTCTATAATGAGATTAGTGATTACCTTAAATGCTATCACAGAGCCTTCATCCAGTAGCTGATGGAAGTAGAAGCAGAGATTCACAGCTAAGCACTGAGCTGGACCCCTGGAATTCAGTTGTAGAGGGGGAGGAGTGATGAGCAGAGGGGTCAAGACCATGCTGGGGAAACCCAGAGAAACAGCTGACCTGAGCAAGTGGGAGCTCATGGACCCCAGTCTGACAGCTGGGGAACTTGCCTAAGACCAAACTAGGCTTCCTGAATGTGGGAGTCAGTTGGGAGGCCAGAGTAGTCTATGGGGCCTCTGGCAGTGGAACCATTATTTATCCCTAGTGCACAAACTGGGTTTTTGGAGCCCATCCCCTATGGAGGAATACTCTCTCAGCCTAGATACATGGAGGAGGGCCTCAGTCCTGTCCCAAATGATGTGATAGACTTTGATGATCCCCTATGGGAGGCCACATCTTTTCAGAGGCGTGGATGGGGGTGGGATGGGGTGATGGTGGGAGATGTGCTAGGACTAGAGGAAGAGGGGGGAACTGGGTTGGTATGTAAAGTAAGACTTTTTAACTTAAATAAAAAAATTGGTTTCAGTACCACTACCCCAAAAAAGTAAAGAAAAAGAAAATACACAAAGGTAACCAATGTATGCAAGCTGCAGTTTTAATTCTAATTCTGAAATTGATACATCTGGTGATAAAAGAGTTACATATATCATAATAGAACGTCTCGTTTATCCAGTTGGTGTTTGACTATATCTGGAATGTGATTTATAAGTTTTCTAATTGTTATAAGCCCACATGTTGTAAATTCTGCATTGTTTGGGGGCTATACGAATATACATCTTTCTATATAAAAGTTCCCTCTGCCCATCTCTTTAAGTAAAGTGTCTTTACTTCATCTTAAACAAATTAGCAGTTTTCTTTGTAGTTAGGGACACTTCCATGTTTCTGGGATTAATAATAGAAAGAAAACTAATAGCTGTCTGGAAGGACATGTTTCTTGCATCAGCCTGTAAAGAAGAAATGTTAGTATGTTGTTATTACTCCTGCCTTTTTAGATAAAAAGCACTGTAAAAAGGCTGTGTGCAGCGTCTCCAGAGCCCTGGGAAACTGACATGAAATTCAAATTTATCCTTTATCCAAAAGTTTGACTTATTTTCACTGATAAGAATTATGCTGTGTCCTTGGAAGATGTAAGTATATCAAAATGTTGATTTTGAATAAAGTGTAATTTAACAGAGTGGCAAAAGCTAGGAGGATGTGCCTGCCTCGTGTTTTGAGCAAAAAGGGTATTTCTTTTGGGGAGTTATTTTTATTAATTCTTTGAGAATTTTACACAGTGTATTTTGATTGTATCCACCCTACTTCCTCCCAGGTCCACCCCTACCTCCCTATCTACCCAACTTCATATCCTCTGTTTTTTCTTTACCTTTTAAAAAACTAACCACAGAGTCTAGGTTGTGCTACCCCAATACTCTTGGTTGTGGGGCAGGGTGTGGTTGACCTACCAAATGTCACACTCTTAAAATTGACTCTTCCTCTCCTGTCCCGCGCGCGCTGTATTTTCTCGCCGGCAAGAAATACACGCAGGACACTCGGATCCTTCTGCAGACAAGCTTTTAATGCATCATCTTACCAGAGCGGAGACTCTGAACCAAGAAAACCCATCCCTAATAAAGGCTGGCCAGCCGCCTGGGACGTGTTACCCTATGAATGGCTTCAGCTCCTCAGGCCAAATGAGCCACGGGATAGGCAGAGATCAAAGGAATGGAGATTACCCAGCGCCTGTGAAGTAATTTACATCTTGGTGTCTTTAGGCACCATTATTGTAATGGAGCATGCAGGAAATGGCCCCCTACATATCCCCCTTTTTTTATTAATTAATGAAAAGGCTTTATATTTTTACAAGCAAATAGGTCACCCATATGTTGAGGGATAGAGG